CTTCTGACATTATATATATATATATATATATATAATTTGTTTCTTCTCCAAATGTTTAAATTACAAAAAATTAATAATGAAAATCATTTTAAGACTGCTTCCTACTTACCGTACAATAGTTTATTAATCAAGTAATGTGTAATTTCGGAGGAGGTTTCGTTCCCCAAGACTACACCACTGTTATTAATGATTACACTGAAAATCAATTACCAGCATAATTGTTTTACAGAAAGATATATAACTTAAATTAGGAATATTGGTATTCTTACCTTTAGTATCACTATTTTCTTGTCCTTTTAATTTTTTAATGACATCCATTTGTTGGGGTTTTAATTCTTTTCGAGGCAGTCTCATCAAATGATATTTCTTTGTTATAACAGCATTAAATTCATCAACAAATTTATTTATCTGTTCATATTTAAGACGCCCTTTCATGTACCTAATTTTAAAAAGAAAATTTACTACAGACAATGTATGTCAAAAATACATAACATAATAAGTGAGTTACACATACACACATATTTAATTTCAAGTCACAGTCAATATTCAGCCACATATTTGCAGTCAATAATTTTAACTCTTGAAATTGGACTGATAGTAAAGACAATGTCCGCAGTAGAACACCCAGAGCCTGATTAAGGCAGGAGCATATGGGGGGCATAATAAATTGAATAAATTGAAGATGATTTTGCTTAATGTTTGTAGATGTTCAAATTAATTGAATAAAATAATAATTTAACTTTTCAAGTGTCTACCGTGAAAACAATTCAAGCTAAAATCTGATAGCTTTCAAATACAATAAACCTGCTTTTTTTTTTCTCTGTCAATTGAATAGAAAATGCGCTTTAAGACAAAGATTTTTTCAAATTTTATTTATAAATTTGAACAGTTAAAATTTACAATTCGAAAAAAAAAACCACAAAAAAACTGTCACTTTTTAAAATAAGTACTGTCAATTTCCAAACTTATTAAAATCTACACGGATTCTATAAAAACCTTTCTTTTACTCAATGTTAGAGTAAGATAACAATATATATGTTACGGGCAATGTAATTATTTAGGTCAGTATTCATAATGCTTAGTTATTATGAATAATGACCATTAAAATTGGGCAATTTGATAAATTCGAATTACTTTACGATAATTTCTCACATTGCCCGGTCATTATAAATACCGCTATTACTTCTTTGAGCATTGTGATTAATTGACAGCAATGGGACAACCACGTGAGTGTGGTGTGATTCTGGCTGGCCAATGTTCACTGGTGAATGTTGAGAATCAAATTAGTCGCTTTGGTGAATGTCCAAAATATTTATTACATCCCATTTGATACTAATTTATTTGTGGATATAATTACATTTATTCGATATTTTAATACTTACTGACGATAGATTAGAACAAACATCAGCGTTTGGAGTATCGGGCAAATGTATACCGGGCAGTGGCACTTGAAATTAAAAAAAACATCAGTGTAGGGTATACCGGGCAAATGTATACCGGGCAGTAGCACTTAACCTTAAAAAAACATCAGTGTAGGGTATACCGGGCAAATGTATACAGGGCAGAGGCACTTGACCT